GAAGCAGCTTTCACACAGGAGTCCGCTACTGATCTGTGGCTGTTTACCACAAACACAACATTTATTCCAACATTATAATCATTCCATTATTTTAATTTCAAATCCAAACATTGTCACTGAAAATGCTTTTTCAGCATTGCAATTCTTTTTGTTACACAGTACAGTAATACAATCTTTCACAAACATGTTTACACACAATAAATATAAGCAACACATCATTCAATGCTTTTAACTTCTGCATTTAATTCTGAATTTATATATTAAGTTGCTCAAGCAAGTGGCAAAACATTTAAACTACTTTTCTTACGTTATCACAAACTTACCATTGATAGAAATAGTCAGCTCTACTGCCTTTCCTTTTGCATTGAAATCTTTATTACAAGTAATCCTGTGGTTCATAAAGAACTTTGTTTTCCTACCTCAGGCTCCATGAGTGCCATCTATTATTGCCTTGTTTATCTAAAAGTGCTCTTTTTTGAAGAAGTTTGAATGAGAGTATATTTTCGTTTTAGATTTTGTCATTAAAAACTGGTTTTTATTTAGTTATCATCTCGTCTTCGTCGGTGAGAAAATGTCGTTGACGAAAATTATGACGAAAATAATTTGTCAACGAAATTAACACTTTAATTAACAGGGATTTCCCTGGATTCCCTGAATCTTTTCACAGTATGGTAGATATTCTGATTCTAAATTCTGAAAGCCATGATCCAGCTTTGCTTGTAAAGACTGAGATGATGCTTTTATACCCAAACTTGATACCCTGGCCTATTACCAGTTCATCTTACTGTGAACTGTTTCAAAACAGTTTAATTTGGATATTCTATAGCCTTTTCATGTTTATTTTGCCTCTGTCCTATCTTAAAGGGATAGTTCACTCAAAAATGAAAATTCTGTCATCATTTACTTACCCTCCTGTCGTTCCAAACCTGTATAAATTTCTTTCTTATGTTGCACACAAAATAGGATATTTTGAAGAATTTTGAAGGACCAAACAGTTGTTGGTCCCCATTGACTTCCATAGTAGGGAAAAAAATACTATGGAAGTCAATAGGGACCATCAACTGTTTGATTACCAGCATTCTTCAAAACATCTCCTGTTATGTTTAACATAAGAAACAACATGAGGGTGAGTAAATGATGACACAATTTAAATTTTTGGGTGAACTATCCCTTTAATTGGGAGTGTGTTGCAGCCATCAAAATCGAAATTTGTTTATATTCATAAAATGCATTTATGTTGGTCAGCAAAAACATTGGAAATATTTTCTTTGTACTTACTTCTTTGTACTGTCAATTAAATAAAAGTTAAAGAGAACTAAAACTTTATTGCATTTTACAAAGCATCCCAACTTTTTTCTGGAATTGGGGTTGTACTTTGAAGTATTTGTAAGCAAACTTTTAAATATTGTCACACAATTTATGAAATATAGTAAAATAGGGTTTATATTTCTTACATTAGCATGTGTAAATGTGGTATTTACCCACCAAAATTACCATGTCTACTATGTCAGAAAAAAAGGAAATTCAATATATTCTAAAAAAAAAAAAAAAGGGTATTTTCTAAAACTAAGGGATAAATATTGTTATTTTTCACTGAAAGCTAGCTGAAAACTAGTACATATGACAGCAGTAAAAGGGTGTTCAAGAGTTCCAGGAACAGAAGAACAAACTAAAATCTCTTTTTTAAAAACACCCCTGTGGATATATTCTAAACAGGATTTTTTTATCAAGTCTCTTTAAATTTGGGGCAAGGTATATCAGATCTTAACATCATTGAAGCTGTAGTAATGAAAATCACCAACATGCTTAAAAATTCTGTAAATTAATCTTATTACACTTATTTTAAAATATTTTACTGTAAAAAAAGTATTTTTGATCAACTCAATGGATCCTTAAATTAACGTAATTTCTTAAAAATCATAATGACCCCATACATTTGAATGGTACTGTGAAAATAACAGTCCTCATTATAAACACAAAATAATAATCAACTGTAATGTTCAGTGAAGACAATTAGACTATGTTTTATTTGATGGTGGGGGGCGGTGAGGGACCTGGATAATGGGTAGGAGGGCGCTGGCCCAAAAAAGGTTGAGAACCACTGATCTACACTAAAGAGCGGCTATGCGGTGGTTTTGGCTATATTACTTTTTTGTCTCAGGCAGCGCACTGCACGCAAACAGGGTGCAAGTTCTTTCCGTTCCTGCACTTAAATCGTTTTTAATCACATTAAAATGCGAACGCAGGAATTGTTAAGCAGAATCGAAATGCACGCGTCTTATCGAATACCCGGTTCTTGGAAATTTGGAACCGGTTCTAAAATGGAACCGGTTTTCGATACCCAACCCTACTCTTGACTGAGGATAGATACATACATATAGACAGACTTTTTACAAAAATGTAATTATAATTTCTAATAAATAAAAAATGCATAGTAAAAAATAAAAATGTATCATTTTGTGGTGGCGCCAGCAGAAATGTTGGCAGGCCAAGCAAATCAGAATTACTGGACCAACTAGGCCAAAAGAAAATAAAAATCTTTAGTTGTTATGATCTGGATTTCAAGCTGGGTTAAAAGCGTCTAGTGTTTACAGTTTGATTTACAGTAGGGTAAATGTGAGAGGTGAGGAGCGAGGAGAGGAGGAGAAGAGAGCTTAATTTTGGCGGCTCTTTCCACTCCTGTCCTCCCACACACGTGCTATTCACAGACTCCTCACAGCGAGCTCAGAGGGCATTGCACTTGCAGGGATTAATTCACATACAATGTTTCAGTTGTCAGATACATTCCTGCTTTTCGTATCCCAGCTAAGCATTTAATGCCATAACAACAGAAGAGGGAACATCTGGCATGACAAACGAGACAATGCGAGCTGCAGGGAAAAAAGAATACAACATAAGCCGAAATTAATTTCCCCAATCACAGCTGACGCATCTCCATCTTAATGAATTGAACAGTGACAGATGCTGGGGAAAGGCGACTCGACAAGCATCTACAAGGACTTCTCGTAGGGGCCTTAGCGATTGTGCGAGTATGTGTGTGGGTGAGTGTTTGTGCAAATCTGTCTTCCTCTCGTGCAAAGCAACAGAGCTTGACAGCAAGAAGGTGAATGATATACTAGAACATCACTACAAGCCTAATGCAGCATTATGTCCACATACACAAACGTAGCAACTCTCACAAGATACAAGAGATAAATCTTTGATAAAGCACTGATACCACTCACCTGCCCGTGACTGATGAAACCATGTTTGTGTGCAATCCTCTCAGCCTCCCTGGCTCCCCTTTCAATGTGGACGGCCCACGTGTTGGTGTAGATGCCTTGGCCTGTAATCAAGCCAAGGTGGACCAGGTACGCCCCCAGAAACGGCAGCAGGGTCCAGCGGCCCTCCATGAAGAGGAGTGCTTCGTCTCCAAGCCTTCTGGTGATGAAGTTTGTTTTTTAATGCATCTGTGGGTTGCACTGTGAATTCAGCACTGTAATGACCTGGAGAAGATAAGACAGAGTGTCAGGAAAGAAATACTAGCGCACCAAGAGGCTCATCGTTTTCTATAAAGCTCAGGTTATCTAAACATAACTGTTCTGTCAGAAAACATTCTCAGAGGGACCGTGGCGAGTCATAAATTTTCATAAAGGTGTCTCGAGTGCTATTGATAGCGTTACACCAAGGGAAACTGGGATACAAACAACGCTTTGTAGGACAAGGAGAAGGCTGTGTGTTTCACTTGTACCCACTTGCTATGTGCTTGGATCTAGAGCAAGTCCACAAAAAAGGACATAAAATCTATCTCCTACTGATGTTGCTTGTCTTAAAGGAATAGTTCAAATCCTGTCATCATTTATTCACACCACGTGTTGTCCAAACCTATAAGACTTTCTTTCTTCTGTGAAACTAAAATTTGCAGACAGTTTCCTATGCTCTTTCATGTAATTACAAGAGAAAATTAAGCTTTCATATATCAAAAGGGCATAAAAGCACTATGAAAGTACTATAAAAGTGGTGTAATCTGTACCACAAATCTTTTGAAGCCAAATAATAGCTGTGTGTGAGATACAGATGGAAATTTAAATAATTTCTCACTGAAAACTTAAAGGGATAGCTCACCTAAAAATTTAAATGAAAAAATGATATAATTCCAAACTTGTATAATCATATATATTGGTCTCCTTTGTACGGTGGCCGTGAAGTGCAAAACAAATCACAATTCTGAAAACAAAATAACAAATTACAAACGCAAATGCAAGTCTAAAAAACAAAATAACAATTCACAAAACATAACAACAATTCAGAAAACAAATTAACAAGTCAGAAAACACAACGACAAATCAGACAAACCGGAAAAGGTAGGTATAGACCAATTACCGGTTTGTAAACATTCAGGATGCGCACGCATCATGGTTGCAGAAAACCCGGGAGAGATAGCCTTTACAGCTAGAGAATTTCACAGATACGGTACAAAATAGTTAGGTTTAAAAAGATTATAAATTATATTGATTAGATGTCATTTTCAAAATGTTCTACACATATTACAAGAGCTTGTCACCCAGCGATAAGCACTGTTATTCAACGAAATTGACGTTAGAGCGTGGGATAGTCTTACAGATCCGAAACAGGGGTGACGGTTTTTGTGGGCGGAGCCTATCTGGAGGCAGAAAATGATGGTTTTCAAGTGGCAGTCTATGGAGCCATGGAATAAAAGAATAAAAAAAGGTCAATTTGATTTTATATTTCAAAATTATGACTTTATTCTCGCAATTCCGAGATTATATCTCACAATTCTAATAAGGAAAAACAACTCGTCATTCTCTCTTTTCCCCTCGGCTCTTCTGGCTTTTTTTCCCCTCAGATTTGACAAACTCACTATTTTTGAGTTAAGTCGAGTTATAAAGTCCGAATTAGGAGATATAAACTTGCATTTGCGAGAAAAAAAAAGTCAGAATTGTGAGATAAAGTAAATAAATGTTATGTAAAAATGTTAATAGTAAGGTTTAAATAATATTTCATGCTGTAACT